TGTACAGAAAACATTTACACTGTGCCTACCAGGAGATATGCCCAAATAGTAAAGTGATCAGGTGCTAGGACTGTAATTTTTAAAATATTATTTACTTATTTATTTATGGCTGTGCCATGTCTTCTTTGCCTCGAGGACTTCTCTCTAGCTGCAGCGAGCAGAGGCTACTTTCTAGTTATGGTGCTCAGGCTTCTCGCTGCAGTGGCTGCTCTAGTTGCTGGGCACGGGCTCTAGAGCGCATGGGCTTCAGGATCTGTGGCACGTGGGCTCAGCAGTTACAGCCCCCCTGGGTCTAGAGCACAGGCTTAATAGTCATGGCACATGGGCTTAGTTGTTCTACAGCATGTGGGATCTTCCCAGATCAGGGATCGAACCTATGTCTCCTGCACTGGCAGGCAGATTTTTTACTACTGAACCATCAGGAGACTGAAGCAGAAGATAGATAGATAGATGTATATTTTTTTTAGCAGAAGATATTAAGAAGAGGTGGCAACAATATACAGAAGAATTATACAAAAAGATCTTAATGACCCAGATAACCACGATGGTGTGATCACTCACCTAGAGCCAGAATCCTAGGATTCGAAGTCAAGTGGGCCTTAGGAAGAAGCATCACTACGAACAAAGCTAGTAGAGGCGATGGAATTCCAGTTGAGCTATTTCAAATACTGAAAGATGATGCTGTGAAAGTGTTGCACTCAATATGCCAGCAAATTTGGAAAACTCAGCAGTGGTCACAGGACTGGGAAAGGTCAGTTTTCATTCCAATGCCAAAGAATGTTCAAACTACTGCACAATTACACTCATCTCACACACTAGCAAAGTAAAAGCTCAAAATTCTCCAAGCCTGGCTTCAACAGTATGTGAATCGTGAACTGCCAAATGTTCAATGGATTTAGAAAAGGCAGAGGAACCAGAGATCAAATTGCCAACATCCGCTGTATCATCAAAAAAGCAAGAGAATTCCAGAAAAACATTTATTTCTGCTTTATTGACTATGCCAAAGCCTTTGACTGTGTGGATCACAACAAACTGTGGAAAATTCTGAAAGAGATGGGAATAGCAGACTACCTTACCTGTCTCCTGAGAAATTTGTATGCAGGTCAAGAAGTAACAGTTAGAACTAGACATGGAACAACAGACTGGTTCCAAATAGGAAAAGGAGTATGTCAAGGCTGTATATTGTCACCCTGCTTATTTAACTTATATGCAGAGTACATCATGAGATACGCTGGGCTGGATGAAGCACAAGCTGGAATTAAAATTGCTGGGAGAAATATCAATAACCTCAGATATGCAGATGACACCACCCTTATGGCAGCAAGGGAAGAACTAAAGAGCCTCTTGATGAAAGTGAAAGAGCAGAGTGAAAAAGTTGGCTTAAAGCTCAACATTCAGAAAACTAAGATCATGGCATCCAGTCCCATCACTTCATGGCAAATAGATGGGGAAACAACAGAACAGTGACAGACTTCATTTTTGGGGGCTCCAAAATCACTGCAGATGGTGACTGCAGCCATGAATTACAAGACGCTTCCTCCATGGAAGAAAAGTTATGACCAGCCTAGACAGCATATTAAAAAGCAGAGACACTGCTTTGCCAACAAAGGTCTGTCTAATCCAAGCTATGATTTCTCCAGTAGTCATGTATAGATGTGAGGATTGGACTACAAAGAAAGCTGAGTGTTGAAGAATTGATGCTTTTGAAGAAGCATGTTGGAGAAGACTCTTGAGAGTCCCTTGGACTGCAAGGAGATCCAACCAGTCAATCCTAAAGGAAATCACTAAATATTTATTCATTGGAAGGACTGACGCTGAAGGTGAAACTCCAATACTTTGACCACCTGATGTGAAGAACTGACTCATTGGAAAAGACCCTGATGCTGGGAAAGATTGAAGGCAGGAGGAGAAGGGGATGACAGAGGATGAGATGGTTGGATGTCACCACCAACTTGATGGACATGAGTTTGAGTAAGCTCTAGGAGTTGGTGAAGGACAGGGAAGCCTGGCATGGGGCAGGCAGTCCATAGGGTCGCAAAGAGTTGGACTCGACTGAACAACTTAACTGAATGGAGCCGTCAGGGAAGCCCCACTGTAATTATTAATTGTTTTGCTTAGGGGCACTTTCCATTAAAAAACTTAAGTTACTGCTGGGGGCTTCCCTGGTGGCTCAGTGGTAAAGAATCTGCCTGCCAATGCAGGAGACACGGGTTCAATCCCTGGTCCAGGAAGATCCCACATGCCACAGAGCAGCTAAGTCTCTGCACCACAACTGCTGGGCCTGTGCTCTAGAGCCCAGGAGCTGCAACTACTGAGTCCACGTGCCCCAACTCCTGAAGCCTGAGCACCCTAGAGCCTGTGCTCCACAAGAGAAGCCACCACAATAAGAAGACCTCTCACTGCAACGAAAGAGTAGCCTGTGCTCACCACAACTAGAGAAAAGCTGGCACAGCCAAAAATAAATAACACAAATAAAATTATTTTTTTAAAAAAAGTCATCTCTGGCTCCTTATCATCCCCATCCTGACTCTGATATGTACCCAGCAAGTCCTGTGGATTCTATTTCAATGAAGTGTCTCCCATGTGATTCTCGTTTCACATTCCGGGTCCCCAGGCTGCTGCAAGCTCTCATCTCTCCGAGCACATCTCCGGCACCTCCCAAGCTCAGCCAGCTCGCCCTTCTCAGCACCCTGCTTTCACAGTAACTCTTCAAAGCCAGTTCTCCTGCTTTACCTGCTCCTTTGGTACTCGAGGCTCTCCTCAGGCCACTTGGCCCCAACCCGTCCTCTCAGTCAGAACGTCCACGCCTGCCCGATTCCAACAGCAGTGCACGTCAGTCTGGATTTTCTATCGCCCGCTCTCTTCTTAAAATGCAGTCCCGTTCTGAGGGCTTCCACACTACTGCTGCTCTGTGTTCGTATAGGACTTCTTAAAAAGGAACTAACTATATTCGGCCAGGACTTCTTGTTAGTTCCCTGGGCATAGATGTGACCTAAAGCCTTCAAATTCAATAGATCAACACAGACTACTGGGCAGATAATTCAAGCACAAGCCCTCAACTCTTATCTTGCAAGCCTCCACCCCCACCCCCACCCCCGTGGGAGCCTCAGTTTGAAGTAACCCCTCAGACCCCACTGCCCTAGGTTAGTAAATCTCAAAAAGGCAAAATAAACCAGAGTACTCCTAAAGACCTTGTGACATTTCTTGAAAGGGACTTGTCAAGGCCTGTAGCCATGTTTTGTCTTTATCTCAGCTAAATATCAGACAGACCTAAGACGGCTGTTTATTTTTCTTGCGTTTCAGATAGGCTGAGAGAGAGCTCTGGTCCAGGGCATAATTAGAAGGCTGTGACTGTACTTTAGTTGCACCAGGAGGGACCTGGAAAAACACTTTCGGGAACAGCATGGTTACTCCCAAGTGGTAACTTGGGAGTGTGCAAGACTCCAGAGCATGTTTATAAAGTAGAGAGAGTTTCACAAGTTACTCCCAAGTGGTAACTTGGGAGTGTGCAAGACTCCAGAGCATGTTTATAAAGTAGAGAGAGTTTCACAAGGGGAGTGGCCTGAGGTTTTCCTGTCTCTGGTCCCGTAAATTAACCAGGATGAGTCTTCCTATTTCACCCTTTTTATTTATGTTGCATCCAAGTCCAGACTCTAAACATACTGGGTGTAGGCTTATCTAATGAAAACACAGCTTACGAGCTGTGGAATGCTAGTGTTGATTAATGGTGATTAATAAATAAAAACAGTAGGCTTGAAATTTAAGTCACTCTGTCAGAAGCTTAGAAAATCTTCTCAGGGAGAACTGGAAATCACTTCAATGGCAGCCAGAGTGGGAAGACAATACTGAATTGCTGAAAAGGTGTTAACGCTGTTTTTCCAGATTTAATTCTTAGTTTTCAGGACAGACATTTTCCCGAAAGAAATGCATAAACGGAATTTTTCTACATAATATCTTAATACACTAAATGCATATTTAAAGGATTCCTATAATAAATTTGGGTGCCAATTTATTTTGCGGGAGAAAAAGTTTTCATATATTAGATTTCCTTAATAAAGTATTTACCTGTGCCAGGAGAGGGGGGAATTTGCATTAGGTAAAAGGAAAGGGCAAATTCGAAACAGAGAGAGGGGCCAAGAAAGGTGACCAGAGGCCTGCAGGAGCGTTAGACGGTTTTTCTGTTCTCTTCTGAGCTGGCCTAAGCCAGCTGGAGATCCTTGAGCTGATTTTGGCTTCACCCTAACTCATTAGTCCTAGTGCACGAACACCTAACATACTTCCCAACGACCGAGAAAAATTTAGCCCCATTGTTTGCAGCTCAGGCACAACCTGAAGAACCCACATGGACTTCACCCACACGGCGAGGACGCCACCGCCCCAGTCCTCTCTAGCGGGCTTGGGGAACCAGCCACCACGCGGAGACTGTCAGGGTGAGCAGCCACTTTCCCGGCATCTGCGGGCCGGAGCCGCGCCGCTGTAATCCGATTCTGCACGCGCCCTGGGCCGGGGGGAGGGGGGCCGAAGGCTGTTCCAATCCGCAGTCTACACTCGCGAGGACAAAAAACTGTCCTCTTCAGGACAGGAAAACACAATCGCACACAGCTCTTAACACCGCGGGCGCAGTGAAGGCCGCCCCCCGAACCCGGGAGATCTGCTGCCCCTTGGGGAGGGGTGACCAGACGCCCCCGGCCCGAGGCCAAGCGCCAGCCCCACGCCGCGCCTCCAGGGTCTCTGAGCCAACTGGGGCCGCACGAGGAGCGCCGGGTCTCCAGAAAGCTTCCTTTTAAAAGGGGTACCTCCCTGGGCGAGGGTCCAGTAGTGGGCACAAAGAGGACAAGCAAAATGGGGTAGTTGAGAGGGCAGTGTCCCACTTTCGGCTTCGGCGCCTGGGGCCAGAGAGCCTGAGACGCGCGGGTGGCGCGGGGACTTCCGGCGAACTTTCCCAGAAGGCGAGGCCGGCTGGGAAAGACCCCCAGCTCCGGCCCGCGGACCTCCCTTACCATCTCCTTGCGCAACAGGGCCAGCGCGGCGTCCAGATTGGGGGGCTTGGCGGGCAGCGCCGCCGCCCGCGCCCCGCCGCCTCCCGCGCTCCCGCGGCTCAGCTCGTCCTGGATGCGCGACTTCTGCGCGTACAACCTCTCCAGGTGCCGCCAACCGCCCGACGCGCCGCCGCCCGACGCCGAGTGCAGCAGTCCGCTCAGGCTCTTGGGCAGCGGAGGCAGCCCGTCCACCCGCAGCCCGCGCACGGAGCCGGCCGCCCCGGCTCCGCTCATCCCGTCCGGCCAGACCGCGCGCTCTCCGGTCCGCTGCCGCTGCCGCTGCCGCCGCCGCCGCCGCAGCCTGGGGCCCTTGCTCCCCAGCCCGCCCCCTTCCCGGGGGCGCACCGCCCACTTCCCCTCCCCGCCCCGCGCCCCGCCCCCCTCTGTGCCCCGCCCCCCTGGGTCCGCGCCCGGCCCCGCGCCCGCGCCCTCTTGGCGCCCCACCTCCCCGGCTCTTCTGCGGCCCCACCCACTTACTCCACCCTAGCGCCCATCCCCGGGCCGGTGCCTGGCTCACTTTTAGCACCTCCTGGGACTCTCGCCTGCTAGCCCTCCTCGTGGAGTCGAGCCCTGCCCTGGCTGACCCACTCCCGGCAAGGTGGGCTCCGCCACCAGACCCCAAAGCTGCTTGTAATTACTGATAAGGGAGGGTCACCTCAGATGCGACCCGACGAGGCCAGTTGGTGCGGCGAATCGGGGTATAAAGGCTCCCCCTCCGGGCAGGCAGGACGTCGGGGAGGTTTGGTAGTGCTGGGATCGCTCCCGCGATCACGGTCCTTAGAGGCGGCGTGGTCGCAGCCGGCGGGGTCCGCGGGGACCGAGGGGGAGGAGGCGGGGCTCTGGCCACAGGAACCCACCCCCGCTCCCGCCGGTCCCCGAGGGCTGAATCTAGACCGTCTCCTACTAAGTGTGGCTTCCTGCCGGGAGAGCTGGGGCCCCCAGGCTCGGGCCAGTCACTAGTTCACTCGAGGGCCCACCAGCCTTCTCTGTAAATGGCAACGTCCATACCATTGTCCGTACGGGCTGCAGCCAAGAGGAGCGCTGAGTCAAGAAGAGCTTGGCCAAGAGGAGCTAAGAGTCATCTTTGGAAACCTCAAAATGCGACCAAACGTGTCCTTCAATCTGGCTGTGAACACTAGAGTAGTTCTCAATGGAGATGTTAGGAGAGTGAAGAAAAGGATTATATCTCAGAAACTATTCTTCAACTCTGAGGCAAAAATAAATACGATTCACAGCTCAGGGAGAGAAAAGAATCTATCTTTTGGAGGAAGAATAAAAACGACAGATGTTACAACCAGATTAGAGACAGTAAAGATAAGAAGTTAAGACCCATTTGCAGAGACAGCCTCACTGCAGATTAAAAACTAATGCAGTATATAGAGAATGGATACATTATAATGCCTACTGTTGGCTTTCGTTATAAAAGGGACTTAATTGTTCTAAATGCATTCAATGGGATCACAATTATAAAGTGTTCTGAACACTCTCAGACGTTAAACCCCTGCACTTCTGGGGTTTTTCCCCCTTTATCTACCATTCCCCATAGACTCCTCTCCAGAATCAATCTGCAACATTGGCAGATGTTCTTGATACACCCTTGCAACCTGGTGAGAGGAACATGGAGAAGCTCCAGTGCAAGCAGTGTGATGCAAGGGTGTCATGAAGGCTTCTCACCCCACCCAATGCCCAGAATTTTCATCCTCATCACTGTGCTTCACCTTCCACTAATTGCCTAGTTACATTTCCTGATTTCAGATATTCATTCATTTGCTTATTTAAACAGTGGGCGTCTGGGAGAGTTACAGCTTTGCTTGTTTGAGAGTAAGGGAGGGGGAGAGGAAGGGATGGGACATTTGATCTTTCCTTCACACCTTTGGCATGGATTGCTTTAATTTGGTGTGTCAAGTTGCTATCTGTCCTACAGTAATTAACAGAAATCATTGACGTAAGGTGGTAGCAGGTTATGTGATGGTGAAATAAGAAATAATTTCAAAGTATGTGTGCACTTAAATCACATGGCCAAAAGGAAAGAGGGTTGGAGCCAGTGGGATAACAGAATGAGGTCCCTGGTGCCAGGACAAGAGAGACAGTTTACATGATGCAAACCCTACAATTTTCAAGCCAGGTTCTATGTTCAGGTATGTGCTCAATGAGCGGAAATCATTTATATTAACAAACAATAACATCCAGTGTGAAGAGAAATTTCTGCAGAATGTCTGTGGTACTGATTAAGGTTTTATTTGTATAAACTCAAAACATAATTATGCAAGAGTCCATTAAATATTTTAACACCCATGGGGCATGTCAGAAAGTACCTGCTTTATTGTTGTTTAGTAGCTAAGCTATGTCTGACTCTATGACCCCATGGAATGTATAGCCAACCAGGCTCCTCTGCCCATGGAATTTCTCAGGCAAGAATACTGGAGTGGGTTGCCATTTCCTTCTTCAATAGTTTGTGCTTATTCAAAGGCAAATATAAGTACCCTTTAAGGTTCATGTTATGTCAGGAATGAAGTAATTTTTAAAAACTTCTGAAAATATGTGTTTTTGCTCTAAGTCTGAAATGCCAGCCTTCTGACCTCAAATCAGAGTGAACCCTAGCTATCTCCTATGCAGCTAAATCAGTCTTTTCCCTCTTTCGGTTGTTGTTCACAAGCTCTTGGAAGTCAGAAAATACAGACTTTTACTTCAGTGCTGTAGTCATTAACCCATACCTCTTCTTAGACTTTTTTGTAGATCAGTGTCCAGGACCTGGGCCTGAGAGCTCCGACCTCACATCTGAGGACACTCAGCGGGTCTCAGTTCGTTTCCCAGCCTTTTCAGCCAGCAGTGCACTTGATCTCAGTGTGAACTTTCAAAGACTCACTGAGAGCATCCTCATCTCCCTCCATCCTCTCCTTCCACTAACCCAGCCACTTCTTCATTCCACCTCTAATCCCTACCCACTTGGCATGTGCTTTCCGGAACATCACAGAGTCCTTTTGTGCTCTTTTGTAATTCTAAACATTTAATAACTTAGGTTGTGGATAGTATAGAAATAACCTGAAAGATACACTGTAAGTTGATTGAGCTGTCTTTTTAGAATCGATGCCCTAATTTCTGCTAACCAGAGAGAAAACCATGTTTTCTTGTCCATGGTAAACATTTTTCTCTTGTGGCCAGACCTAAAATTAGAATACTTTGAGATCAATTGTGCAATGTATTTGGCCTCAAGTTTAGCAAATGTATTTATTCCAAGATAAAATTTCTTATGTTTCTGTCATTTCTAAAGCAAGTTATAAATTTAAAATGTGCACAAAGCCCTTCAAAGGTCTTTATACGCAGCTGTGTAGACACCAAGTGAACTAAGTACTTAGCACATAATCATAGATTCTTGTTCCTTTCCTCTTTTTTTTTTCTTTCCAGGAGAAGGAATGAAGGAAGCACCCTGCAGGTCTTTCCCTAGATTCTTACACTTTGCTCTTACATGGTTGCTTTGTGAGCTCAACAATATTTTGTTTATTTAGTCAGGGACAAGGGCAAGGCTTTTTGTAGCTGCCACAGCAACTGACACGATGCTAGGCACCTAGTGATATTTAAAAAAATTCAAGAATCTATCATTAGATGTAACTTTGAGTATCTACTATGTGTAAACCCTGGTGCTAAGCTCTATGATGAACATAAAGATGACTGGGGTTCAATCCATGACTTCAAGTCATGTACAGTCTATCAGGAGAGATGACATTGTAATAGAAGTAGAAAGCAAACACTGGCAGTTCCAGCAGGGAAAGATTCTTTGAGGGGTTTAGAAAAGGTATGCTAGAAGCGTGTTCATTTAAACTGGGCTAGAAGGGTAAGTAGGCTTTCAGTAAGTGAAGCCAGACCAGGGAGGGATGGGAAGAGTCCTGGTTGTTTGGAAGGACAGAGTGTCACAGCTCTTAACCTTAAACCAGGGAAGGTTTCAGAATGAGTGCTTGGAAGTTTAGATTCTATTTCTTAGTCAGGGGTAGCTGTTAAGCATTTTAAATGCAACATGAAAGTGAAAGTGTTAGTCATTCAGTTGTGTCCAACTCTTTTTGAGTCCATGGACAGTATAGCCCACCAGGCTCCTCTGACCATGGAATTCTCCAGGCAAGAATACTGGAATGGGTAGCTATTCCCTTCTCAAAGGGATTTTCCCAACCCAGGGATTGAATCCTGGTCTCCTGCATTGCAGGCAGATTCTTTACTGTATGAGTGACCAGAGAAGCCCCTTAAAGCAATATAGCCTGAGACTTAGAAGATCATTCTGGCACTTGCATATTTAGTAGGTTGCAGGTGAAGGCAGAGATTAGAGCCAGGGAGAATAGTTGAGCGGCAAATGCATCTTTTTTTTTTTTTTTTTTTAAGATTTTGGTTTGTTTGTTTTGATGTGGGCCATTTTGAAAGTTTTTATTAAATTTGTTACATATTGCTTCTGTTTTGTATTTTGGTTTTTTGGCCTCGAGACATGTGGGATCTTAGCTCCCAGACTAGAGATAGAACGTACCCTCACTGCATTGTCTTATCCCCTGAACTGCCAGGGAAGTCCTTTATAATGCATTTTTGAATTGAGAGGAAATGAAGGCCTGAATTAGGTGGCAGTAAGCAAATGATAGGAAACAAAAAACTAACACTTGATAGATTTCTCATAGATTTTTCTCCTTTAGCCTGCACAACCTCTGGGAGGTGAGCATTAGAGTTCCATCTGATGAGTAAGGAATAAGGTAGCTAGTTTGCTTACCGCAAACGAAGGGATCTTGACAAAGGCCACTTTTTTCTTACTGGGGAGATGCCAGAGACAGAATCCAGAGAGCTGTTTGGTTGTGAAACGTTGGACCAGAGTGAACACTTAGAGGTGATGGTTAAAACATTTGAAATGGAAGAGATCATGGTGAGAGTACCTTTCAGCCAGTATTTAGAAACACCTTCACTCACTAGGCCTTTGAAGTTAAAAGAGAAAAAAGCCAAAGAGTGCAGAAACCTAGAAAATGCAGTAAATGAATTAAAACGTTTGGGAAAAATCCACCACTTGCACTTTGATTTTCTGAAGTGCAAGATGAAGCCCCTAGCTGAGGAGCGTAACCAGACGATGACATGCCCTTCAGAGATGAGAAGGAATCGTCTTCAAATCTAGTGGGAGAGAAGAGGGAGATGTGGGCAGAGAACTAGAGTAGTGTGTGTGAGAAATCCAGGCAGGAGGAGACTGAAAAATGGATGGGCAAGGGAGTGGGAGG